TCTCTTGAGATTCAGTGTATGTCCTAGGATGTAAGTGTTTATTTTTTCCAAAATTGATATTGTGGTTTTGCTAGGTATTGGTTTGAATCTCTTGATCATTTTGTTGGTATTGATGTAATGACAATATTGTCTTTCAGTCCATGAACTGGGGATATCAGCATTTACTTGTGTATTTTCTAATAATTTTCAGTAACGATTTTAGTTACAGTGTACAAGTCTTTTTTATGTGGCTAAGGTTTTGCCTAAGTATTTTATTCTTTTTCATGCTATTTGAAATGGAAATGTTTTCTCAATTTTCTTTCTAATTGTCCATCATTAACATATAGAATACAATTTTTACATGTTGACTTTATATCTTCCAATTTTTCTGAATTCATTAGTTACTTATATCAGGGTTTTTTTGTGGAATCTCATATTTTTTCTACATATTAGGTTATGTCATCTCTAAACAGACATAATTTTCTTCTCCTTTCTCTAATTGGATACCTTTTATTTTGTTTTCTCGCCCATTATTCTGGCTGAGACTCCAGCTATGTGTTTAATAGAAATAGTGAGAGCAGATATCTTGTCTTGTTCCTGATCTGAGAGAAAAAGCTTTCAGTCTTTCCCCATTGTGTATGATGTTAGCTGTGGGCTTTTTATATTAGTCTTTTATTGTGTTACTGTATTTATTTCTATTCCTACTGTATTGAGTGTGTTTATTATGAAAGGCTGTTAACTAGTCAAATGCTTTTCTGCATCAATTGAGATAATCATGTAGTGTATTTTCTTATATTTAATGTGCAGTTTTACATTGAAAGATTTCATTTGTTGGAGCATCCTTGCATTCCAAGAATATATCCTCTTTGGTTGTACTGTATAGTCCTTTTGTAGTACTGTTAAATTTCATTTACTCTTGTTTGATTGATGAGTTTTGCATCAATATTAAGATTTATTTATTTATCTTATATTTTAGTTTTGGCTGCGTTGGGTCTTCATTGCTGCGCGTGGGCTTTCTCTAGTTGCGGCGGTGGGGGCTGCTCTTTGATGTGGTGCTCGGACTTCTCATTGCGGTGGCTTCTCTTGTTGCAGATCATGGGCTCTAGGTGCATGGGCTTCAGCAGTTGTGGCATGCGGGCTCAGTAGTTGTAGCTCACGGGCTCTAGAGTGCAGGCTCAGTAGTTGTGGTGCATGGGCTTAGTTGCTCCGTGGCATGTGGGATCTTCCCGGACCAAGGCTCGAACCTGTGTCCCCTGCATTGGCAGGAGGATTCTTAAACACTGCACCACCAGGGAAGTCCGGTTTTGGACTGACTTTGGTTTTAGAGTAATTCTAGTCTCGTAATGAGTTTTGAAGTGTTTCCTGTTCAAATTTTGGGGAAGAATTTGAAGAAGCTTGATCTTAATTCTTTTAAGATGTTGGGTAGAATTCAGTAGTGACGCTATCTAGCTTTCCTTTGGATTTTCTTGCTTTCTTTTTTTTTTTCTGGCTGTACCATGTGGCATGTGGAATCTTAATTCCATAACCAGGGATCAAACCTTGACCTGCAGTGGAAGCACAGCGTCTTAACCACTGGAGCACCAGGGAAGTCCTCCTTTGATTTTTTTTTTTTTGTGGTATGCAGGCCTCTCACTGCCGTGGTCTCTCCCGCCGCGGAGCACAGGCTCTGGACATGCAGGCTCAGCAGCCATGGCTCACGGGCCCAGCCGCTCCGTGGCATGTAGGATCCCCCTGGACCTGGGGCACGAACCCGCATCCCCTGCACCGGCAGGCGGACTCCCAACTACTGCGCCACCAGGGAAACCCTCTCCTTTGATTTTGATCAGTGATTTTTGGTTAGTGATTCAGTCTTCTTACAAGGAATGGGTTTGTTCAGATTTTTTATTTCTTCATGACTCTATTGATAGGTGTGTGTCTCTGGGATTTCATTCAGATTTTGCAATATTTAGGCATAGAATTGTTCTTGGTATTCTAATTTTTTTTTTATTTCTGTGGAATCAGTTGTTGTGCCCCCACTTTCATTTTTTATTTTAGTTATTCGGCCTTCTCTCTTTTTGGTTAGTTAATCTACTTAAGGGTTTTATTATGTCTATCTGATCAAAGAACCAACTTTTAATTTTGTGATTTTCTGTAGTTTTTTATTCTTTTTGTATATCTCTTAATTTTTTTTCTTTCTAGCTTTGACTCTGTTTCCTATGGTCTTTTTTTCTTTTTATTTTCATTAAAAAATTTTTTTAAAGTAATTTTGCCTTTTTTCTATTTAATTTTATTTATTTATTTATTTATTTATGGCTGGCTGTGTTGGGTCTTCGTTTCTGTGCGAGGGCTTTCTTTAGTTGTGGCAAGCGGGGGCCGCTCTTCATCACAGTGCGCGGGCCTCTCACTATCGCGGCCTCTCTTGTTGCGGAGCACAAGTTCCAGAGGCGCAGGCTCAGTAGTTGTGGCTCACGGGCCTAGTTGCTCCGCGGCATGTGGGATCTTTCCCGGACCGGGGCACGAACCCGTGTCCCCTGCATTGGCAGGCAGATTCTCAACCACTGCACCACCAGAGAAACCCTTAAAATTATTTTTATTCAAATGATAAACCAGTATCTTTTATGTGCATTCCTTTGTATTTTTTTTTCAAGCTTTAAGATATAATCAACATATAACATTGTGTAAGTGAAGTGTGATGATTTGCTACACATTTATATTTTGAAAAGATTACCGGGTATGTTTGTTAAAACATCCATTAACTCACATAATTACAATTTTGTTTGTGTGGTGAGAACATTAGAAGGTTACTGTCTTAACAACTTTCAAGTATATATAATACAGTATTAATAATCATAGTCAGCGTGCTGTATGTTAGATCGCCAGACCTAATTCATCTTGACTAAAATCTCCCCATTTCTGCTATGCCCCAGCCTTTGGTAATCACTATTTTACTTTCTGTTTGTATTTGGCTTTTTTTCCCCCCAAATATAAGTGAGATTATTCTTTATTTGTTTTTCTCTCAGACTTATTTTACTTAGCATAATCCCTTCGAATGCTGTCCATGTTGGTACAGATAGCAGGATTTCATTCTTTCTTATGGCTGAATAATATCTCATTTTCTATAGAAATGAGATTTCTTTTTTTTATCCATTCATTAGTTGGACACTTAGGTAGTTTCCATATCTTGGCTATGGCTTATACTGCTCTAATGAACATAGGAATGCAGATATCTCTGTGTGATAGTGGTGACTTCATTTCTTTTCGGTATATACCCACATGTGGAATAACTACGTTATGTGGTGCTTTAAAAAGAAGTATTTTGACTGTAATTAGTTTTTTCCAGTGCCTAAAACGAATTATAATCTTCTGATAGTACGGTAGGGTCCTCTTTAATCCACAACCTTACTAACACTCATACCTCTTGGTTTTTTTGTTTTTGTTTTCTTTGGCTGCTGGACCACCAGGGAATTCCCCCCTCTTGTCTTGTGTGTGTGTGTGTGTGTGTGTGTGTGTGTGTGTGTGTGTGTGTGTGTGGTACGCGGGCCTCTCACTGCTGTGGCCTCTCCCGTTGCAGAGCACAGGCTCTGGACGCTCAGGCTCAGTGGCCATGGCTCACGGGCCTAGCCGCTCTGCGGCATGTGGGGTCTTCCCAGACCGGGGCATGAACCCGTGTCCCCTGCATCGGCAGGCGGACTCTCAACTACTGCACCACCAGGGAAGCCCTCTCTTGTCTTTTTGATAATAGTAATTCTAAAGGTGTGATGTGATATCTCCTGGAGGGTTTGATTTGCATTTTCTCCTAAAGGAGGAGCTGGGAACTGGGAAACTTTCTCCTGTTTATTCTCACCTTATTGTGCCTTGGAGGGATTGAGTCAAAAATCATGATTACACTTTTTGGTTCTGTGTTTTGAGTGTAGGCATTTCTTTGGGTGCTTCAGCTTCTCACCTGGTTCTTAGAGTTATTCCAAAGGATTTTGTTGGGAATACCGTGGTGGTCCAGTGTTTAAGACTCTGTGCTTTCACTGCTGAGGGCAGTGTTCAGTCCCTGGTCAGGGAACTAAGGTCCCGCCAGCCATGTGGTGCAGCCAAAAAAAAAAACAAAAACAAAACAAAACCCACAAAGATTTTTGTTCTTGTTGTATATTGTTAATTCAGTGTCTCCATGGGCTAAGTGCCTGGAGTTTACTGGTCTGCTATCTTGCCAACATCGTTTTTCATGTCTTTTATTTATTTATTTTTACATGTCTTTTTTATGGCAGAGATTGTGTTAAGAGATCCAGTGCTATGATTTCCAGTAATTAGAGCAGGGCAGCAAAAGGGACACTGTTGTTTTTAACACCAAATAAGGAGTCTTAGTCTAAAAAGTTGATATGACAAATTGTTAAAATTTTTACTATGTTAGGTAATTAATAATTTAGTTAATAAGATTCTTTTTCTTTTTAAATTTATTTATTTATTTATTTTTGGCTGAGTTGGGTCTTTGTTACTGGGAGCGGGCTTTCTCTAGTTGTGAGTGGGGGCTACTCTTGGTTGCGGTGCATGGGCTTCTCATTGCAGTGGCTTCTCTTGTTGCAGAGCATGAGCTCTAGGCACACAGGCTTCAGTAATTGTGGCACATGGGCTTCAGTAGTTGTGCACACAGGCTTCAGTAGTTGTGGCTCACGGTCTCTAGAGCACAGGCTCAGTAGTTGTGGTGCACAGGCTTAGTTACTCCACGGCACGTGGGATCTGCCCGGACCAGGGCTGAATCCATGTCCCCTGCATTGGCAGGCAGATTCTTAACCACTGAGCCAGCAGAGAAACCCGTGTTTTTCTCTTGAATATGTATTCCTGGAAATGGAACTCATGGATATTAAAATTGGTACATTTCATACCAGATATTGCTAGAGAAAAAAACCTGCTTTCTCTTTACAATGTCACACTCTCTCCCTTTTTAAATTTCTTTTGCTTTTGTTGCATGCCCATGGTATAAGTCCCATGGTTAAAAATGAGATGGTACAGTGCTGCCTGCTAATAAACCAGTTCTTCTTTTCTTCCCCATTCAGTATTCTCATCGCCCTGGTACAGTTACATTCCCACAGTTTAGAAAGCACAAGCTGTGTTCCCACACGTCCATTACTCCTTGTCCTCCATTCTTGGCCTTCCCAGTTCTGACCTTTCCTCACATGGTCCCTTGATGTGGATGGAATACACTGTTATTTGCTAGCATATTCGGTTTTTTCTTCTGAATTCCTTAATTCCCAGAGCCTTTTTTCACCCATCCCACTGTCTCCCCACACTGTTCACATTGTAAAAAATCATGTGTATTCCTACAGTGAATTAATTTCACTAGGCAGGACCTTAATTTATATGTGCAGAGGTGGTGCCTCCAAAACCATTTCCAGGAAGGATGGCTGAATAATGCTATATACAGCTCAGTTCTTGTATCACCCTTGAAATTTTCTTTCTGAACTCTTGGTATTCATATCCTGTATCTCTCACTTACTTTCTGTGTAAATTGGTTTCATGTACATGAACCCTGTGAGTCTGATGCCCTTATTTGAAAAATTGGGCTTAGAATATTTCATGTTTCACAGTAAAGATTTGAAGGTTACTTTTAAAAAATACTAACTTTCATGTTTATTGTGAGCTATCCGTTTGTATACATTATAACTTGGATGTTTTTATTTGTAATTGATCCCAACAACATTGTCTCTGATCCTAGTTAATAAATTTTCAGGGCTTCCCTGGCGGCTCAGTGGTTAAGAATCCACCTGCCAATGCAGGGGACATGGGTTAGAGCCCTGATCCGGGAAGAGCCCACATGCTGCAGAGCAGCTAAGCCCATGCACCACAACTACTCAGCCTGTGCTTTAGAGCTCACAAGCCCAACTACTGAAGCCTGTGCACCTAGAGCCCATGCACTGCAATGAGAGAAGCCATCGCAGTGAGAAACCCATGCATGCACCACAACGAAGAGTAGCCCCTGCTCTCCACAACTAGAGAAAGCCTGCGCGCAGCAACAAAGACCTAACGCAGCCAAAAATAAATCAATAAAATAAATAAATATTAAAAATAATAAATAAATTTTCAATGCACACTGTATTACATACACTTTGGGGCCAATAATTTAAGGTAACTGCCTTAGATAGGCCATAGCTCAATGCTGTCTGTTTTTCAATACTAAACTGCCATTTGTTTACATTATTCATCAGGTAAGCTTGTTTTGGATTATTTACCATTATAATGCATTGTCGGTTCTTTAGCATTTACTTATGTACAAATATGCAGAAATTTTGTACAATATAATACTTTTTTCTCCTCAGTTACAAGACAGCAGTGGGATTCCCTGGCAGTCCAGTGGTTAGGACTCAGCGCTTTCACTGCCATGGGCCCAGGTTTGACCCCTGGTTGGGCAGCTAAGATCCTACAAGCCACTTGGTGTGGCCAAAAAAAAAAAAAAAAAAAAAAAAGACAGCAGTATGCTTACTGCCAATTACTGTGCTTTGGGGTCATGGTGGGAAAATGCCCTTTTTTTGAGAGCTAATACAATTTTGTACAGCGTTAGGGTTTTTGTCATAGGGTGTTTTGGAACTAGGCTACCCTAAAATTATTACAATATTATATAAGTTTTGAGTGTACGGCATAGTGATTCACAATTTTTAAACGTTATGCTCCACCTAAGATTACTTTGAAATACATGTGATCGCTTTCTTTCGTAAGGGATCATATTTCTTTACTGTTCCTTAAATTTCGAACATTTTGTTTGGGAAGCTTTATTACTCTGTTTAGGATAAGTATTATTTTTGGGTTACTATCATGTTATCAACAAGAAATGACTTTGTTCTGAACTATAATTAATAGGGTTCCTGTGGTTCTTTATATCTTGTAGATATCTGTCATATATATGTGATGAAGAAATTACAAGCTAAAGTGAACAGTGATGGAGGAGAAGTATTCCAAACAGTGATGTTGGAAACACGTGAAAGCCGTGAAATAAGAGATTTTTACTTCAAGGAAATCCAGGAAAATATGCATGACTTTGAGTATCAGTGGAGAGATGATGAAAGAAATGGCAAAGGAATGCCTATAACCTGTAAAGAAAATCTCACTTATAAAAGAAATCAACATTGGAAAAGGGATGCAGGAAACAAGCCTGTTGAAAATAGGCTTGGATCAAGCTTTCGAGATAACCTGCTGATATATCAAACTGAAGGGAAAATTTATGAATGTAATCAAGCTGTGAAGTCTACCAACAGTAGAGGCTCATTTTCAGTACTTGAAAGAATAACTCCTAGTGTCCAGGCCAACATTTCTAATATATATGGGAACGATCTTATCCATCTTTCAGGACTGGCACAGGAACAGAAAGCATACAAGGGAAAACCTTACAAATGTGGTCAGTTTGGCAAAATGTTTCGTCAGGGCTCACACCTCACTAGACATCAGATAATCCACACAGGAAAGAAATCATACAAATGTGATGTATGTGGCAAGGTCTTTCGTCGAAGTTCACACCTTGCAAGTCATCGGACAATTCATACTGGGGAGAAACCTTACAAATGTAATGAGTGTGGCAAGCTCTTTAGTCAAAAAGCACACCTTGGAAGTCATCAGCGAATTCATAGTGGGGAGAAACCTTACACATGTAATGAGTGTGGCAGAGCCTTTACTCTTCGCTCAAATCTCATCAGACATCAGAAAATTCATAAAAGAAAGAAATTATATAGATGTGATATATGTGACAAAGTCTTTAGTCGAAATTCACACTTTGCAAATCATCAGAGACGTCATACTGAAGAGAAACCTTACAAATGCAGTGAGTGTGGCAAGGTCTTTACTCAAAATTCACATCTTACAAGACATCAGATAATTCATAGTGGAGAGAAACCTTACACATGTAATGAGTGTGGCAAAACCTTTAATTTTCACTCAAACCTCATTAAACATCAGAAAATTCATATAGGAAAGAAATTATATAAATGTGATGTATGTGGCAAAGTCTTTATTAGAAATTCACACTTTGCACGTCATCAGACAATTCATACTGGAGAGAAACCTTACAAATGCAATGAGTGTGGCAAGGTCTTTAGTCAAAATTCACATCTTACAAGACATCAGAGAATTCATAGTGGAGAGAAACCTTACACATGTAATGAGTGTGGTAAAGCTTTTAGCCAAAGTTCAAGCCTGGTTGACCATCAGAAAAGTCATTCTGGAGAGAAACCATATAAGTGTTTTGAATGTGGCAAGGCCTTTAAGCAATGGTATTACATCAAGATTCACCAAAGAATTCACACTGGAGAGAAACCATACAAATGTGATGTGTGTGGCAAAGCCTATATCGCTCTTTCAAGCCTAACTAATCATCAGGTAATCCATACTGGAGAGAGACCTTACCAATGTAATGAATGTGGGAAGTCATTTAGGCAACAGTCTGAAATCAGGATTCACCAAAGAATTCATGATGCAGAGAACCCTTTCAAGTGTAATGAATGTGGCAAAGCCTTTACTCAGTGTTCAACTCTCACTACACATCAGATAATCCATAAAAGAGAGAAACCATATAAATGTGATGTATGTGGAAAGGTTTTTAGTCAAAAATCACAATTTAAAATCCATCAGAGAATTCATTCTGGGGAGAAGCCATACAAGTGTCATGAGTGTGACAAAGCCTTTATTGTGCGTTCGAGCCTCACTTCCCATCAGGTAATCCATACAGGAGAGACAGAACATAAATGTGACGTTTGTGGCAAGGGCTTCAGTCAAAATTCACACCTCGTGACTCACTGTAGAGTTCATACTGGAGAGAAACCTTACAAATGTAATGTGTGCAGCAAAGCATTTAGTGTGCGATCAGGCTTAACTTCCCATCAGGTAATCCATACAGGAGAGAAACCACATAAGTGTAATGTATGTGGCAGGGGCTTCAGACAGACTTATCACCTAGTGAATCATCAGAGGATTCATACAGGAGAAAAGCCTTTCAAATGTAATGAATGTGGCAAAACATTTAGTGTGCAGTCGACCTTAACTTCCCATCAGGTAATCCATACGGGAAAGAAACCACATAAATGCCATGTGTGTGGCAAGGGCTTCAGGCAGAGTTCGCAACTCGTGACTCACCGTAGAATTCATACTGGAGAGAAACCTTACAAATGTAATGTGTGCAGCAAAGCATTTAGTGTGCGATCAGGCTTAACTTCCCATCAGGTAATCCACACAGGAGAGAAACCATTTAAATGTGAAGCATGTGCAAAATTCTTCAGCTATAGGTCTCACCTTGTGTATCATCGGAGAATTCATACTGGAGAGAAAACCTAACAGGTGACTTGATTGTGGCAGTCTTTATTTTGCGTTCAAGCCTATCCTACCATGAGGTAATCCATGCTGGTGAGAGACACTACAAATGCAATCAGTGTTGCAAGGTTTTTAGAAGGTGTTCACTCCTTAGGCTTCATGAGAAAATTCATACTCAGCAGAAGCTGTATAAATGTATTGCGTGTGTCAAGGCTTTTAGAGAATGGTTTGACCTTAGTATTCTATCAAGAATTCATTCTGGAGAGAAACCTTACAAATGACATGAGTGTGTAAAACCTTTACTCGGGTCACATTTCACCAATCATCAGGTAATCCGTACTGGACAAAACCTTACACATTTACTGAATGTGGCAAGGCTTTTTAGGTATTGCCTACACTCGGGCTTCACCAAATACTTTGTACTTACAAATACAAGGAGTGTGGCAAAGTTTTGAATTATTGCTTACTTTCAGGATACATAAGAATATATGTCTTGGTGACAAACCACACAAATCTAATGTGCATAGCAAGGATTTTACCCAGACATAAAAGGGGGAACATACTGGAGCAATAGTTTACAAATGCAGTGGGAGTGGCAACAGTTTTACCTTGAGTTCAAGTATTATACAACAACTGAGAGTCCATATTGAGGAGAAGCCGTATAAATGTATGGACAGAGGTTTATCCAGGCCTCACACTGCACTAGACTTGAAAATATACATCTTTCAGAAAAACCATACAAAAGTAATGTGCAGGCTAAGGCTTTACCCAAAGATCAAAACTGTGGAACATAAGAGGAGTTACAGGGCTTCCCTGGTGGCACAGTGATTAAGAACCCATCTGCCAGTGCAGGGAACACGGGTTCAAGCCGTGGTCTGGGAAGATCCCCCATGCCGCAGAGCAACTAAGCCTGTGCACCACAACTAGTCAGCCTGCGCTCTGGAGCCCGTGAGTCACAACTACTGAGTCCGTGTGCCACAACTACTGAAGGCCACGTGCCTAGAGCCCATGCTCCGCAATAAGAGAAGCCACCACAATTAGAAGCCTGCGCACTGCAACCAAGGGCGAACCCAACTCGCCACAACTAGAGAAAGCCCCTGTGCAGCAATGAAGACCAAATGCAGCCAAATAAATAAATAAATGAACCTTTATTTTAAAAAAAAGAATCTGCCTGCCAGTGCAGGACACATGGGTTCGAGCCCCAGTCCAGGAAGATCCCACATGCTGCAGAGCAACTAAGCCCATGCACCACGACTACTGAGCCTGCGCTCTAGAGCCCGTGAGCCACAACTACTGGACCCTTGTGCCACAGCTGCTGAAGCCCGTGGACCTAGAGGACATGCTCTGCAACAAGAGAAGCCACTGCAATGAGAAGCCTGTGCACCGCAACAAAGACCCAAAGCAGCCAAAAAGGAAAAAAAAAGTTATATTGAAGAGCAACCTTACAAATGTAATGAATGTTGTAAAGTTTTTTTTAATCAAGTATTCACATCTTTGGCGTAATTTGTGAATTCATATAGGACAGAAACTATACAGATATACTAAACATGGAAATGCCTTTAAGAAACAGTGTGTTCTTAAGATTCACCAAAGAACTCATGTTGGGGAGAATCCTTACAAATGTAATGTGTAAATTTTTTGGCCAATTCTTACAACACACCATACATCCAATAATCCATACTAGGAATAACTGTCTTTACTTCTTTGAGGTCAACCTGAGATATTACATACTACAGAATAATTACAAGTCACAAAATATTAAAACTTATGATGTGTATCACTGCAGCAAGGCCATGTGGAAATGGCCCTTCTGTTCTAATAAAATATAGTGTATTTCATTTGAGTATTCTTGAAACGGCTGCATTGCTACTTTATGAATTTCAAGCTAAGGTTTGAAGTCTTTTGATTTTATACCTTTATTACAGGAAGGTTTGAAGTCTTTTGATTTTATACCTTTATTACAGGAATTTCCTGATGGTCTCTGGGATGGGGTCAAGATGAAGGGGCCAAATTCACTAGGTGTGGTTCATTCATATCCACCTTTCCTGGAAAAACAATACTAAAGGATTTCCCTGGTGGTCCAGTGGTGAAGACTCTGCCTTCCGGGCTTCCCTGGTGGTGCAGTGGTTGAGAGTCCGCCTGCTGATGAAGGGGACATGGGTTCATGCCCCGGTCCAGGAGGATACCACATGCCGTGGAGAGGCTGGGCCTGCGCGTCTCAAAAAAAAAAAAAAAAAAAAAAAAGAATCCGCCTTCCAATGCAGGGGATGTGGGTTAATCCTTGGTCAGGGAACTAAGATCCCACATGCTGTGGGGAAACTAGCCCACACGCTGCAACTACTGAGCTTGCGCTTCTCAACTAGAGAGCCTGCGTGCCACAAACTACAGATCCCATGTGCCCTGGAGCCTGCGTGCCACAACTAGAGAAGAGAAAACCCTCATGCCACAACTAGAGAGAAGCCCACCTGCCACAACAAAGACCCAGTCTGCTGCAACGAAAGATCCTGCATGCCTCAGTGAAGATCCCATGTGTCACAACTAAGACCCGACCTAGCCAAAAAAAAAAAAACAAAAACAACAACAAAAAAAACTGTTATGTAACTCAATATCGAATGAATTAGAATCAGGGAAGGGCAGAGAATAATGTAAAACTATGATATCAGTTCTCATGCTTATTGTGTTCAAGGTGCCCATCCATAGATAGGCTACAGTGGGTTCTAGTACAGAATGTTTTACCAACTGACCATGAACAGATCAAGCATTAAGGACTGGGCTTTTCATGGGAGGAGAGTCACAGGTTATTAGGACTCGTTATTTGTTAGAAATAATGCACTGGAAATGGTGGTTGCATTCTCCGCTGAATGCCAATGGTTAATGAAAAATGAGTCTTTTTTTTTTTTCAGTAAATTTATTTTTGGCTGCGTTGGGTCTTCATTACTGCACGTGGGCTTTCTCTAGTTGCGGCAAGCAGGGGCTACTCTTTGTTGTGGTGCGCAGGCTTCTCATTGCAGTGGCTTCTCATTGTGGAGCATGGATTCTGGAGCACAGGCTCAGTAGTTGTGGCACACGGGCTTAGTTCCTCTGCGGCGTGTGGGATATTCCAGGACCAGGGCTCGAACCCCTGTCCCCTGCATTGGCAGGTGGATTCTTAACCACTGCACCAGCAGGGAAGTCTGAAAACTTAGTCTTATTCTTGGAAATTGAATAGAGAGTGGTTAACCAAGAGTGGAATTTAATCAGAAGAAACCAAATAGTATTTGTAGTTATATGATTCACATTTAATTGCTGCTGCTGTTTTATTCAGAATGTATCATAGGTCTCTTATTTAATTAATCACTTTTTATTAAACCACGGATTAATAATGTTCCTTCTACCAACACCGTTTTATCCCACCTCAGTAATATATTACAGAAACTGAGAATGCACTATTAGGCTCTCAGGGCTGAAAGTGTATCTGTAGCAATTTCTTTCAATGAAGGAATCAAGCAGCATACCTGGGGAGATTACATACTCATAATTTGTACTTGAGTTATTCTCTCCACACTATTCCAGAATATTTGGATGGCTATAGTGAAAATACCATAGCAGTGCATTTTAGAGGCTGACTTCCATTAATGTGCAAAAATGGAACTGAGTAAATTTAAAGATCTAATTGGCTAGGACTTCCCTACTAGTCCAGTGGTTAAGAATCTGCCCTCCAACGTAGAGGACGTGGGTTCAATCCCTGGTCGGGGAACCAAGATCCCAGATGCCGCAGGGTAACTATGCCTGTGTGCCACAGCTAGAGACCTCAGGTGCCACAACTACTGAGCCCCCAGGCTGTAGAGCTCACACGCCTCAATGAAGGATCCCACATGCCACAACGAAGATCATGCGTGCTGCAACTAAGACTCGACACAAATTAATTTAAAAAAACATCTAATTGGCTTTGTTGAATGATTCATGAATAGGGCAGCATGCCACCTAGTAAATAGGGTGGTGCTCAAGGAGCTGTACAGTTATGAATGCTTTTGTAGGGAGAAAGTGGGTTAAGAGACTGGCACACAAAAAAATTAAAAAGGAATGTTTGAGGCTAGGTCTCATTTTGGGTAGTCATGCAGCTGAGGTCTTATTCTGTAGATAACCTCACTAGTGTTGATCTGGAAATTGCAGAGTTACTGGTTTCAGGCCACATTCTAGGGAGGGATGAAACTGCAATTAAGACTTGGTTTGCTCTCCTGGGGTGAAAGGACTCTGCCTTGGCCTTGTTATTTCTTTTTCACACCACCTAAAACCTGACATACTTTCACGAATATGCACTATATGAATATATTTTATGTGGGTTTTTGTGTGTGTGTGCTAGGATAAAAGCCATGGCATAAGCCTTGATTTACATGAAGTGAAAATAGGAATATAGGAAGTAAACCAAAAATATTAGAATATAAAAGATTTTCAGAAATCATTAAAAGTAGATCATTTTTGTGCTTGGAACGCTTAGTGAAATAGTTTGAAAAGGTCAATGTTCTTCAGTTTCCTTTTAAGAATAAACAATATACAGGGGGCTTCCCTGGTGGCACAGTGGATAAAACTCCGTGCTCCCAATGCAGAGGGCCCGGGTTCAATCTCTGATCAGGAAACTGGATCCCACGTGTGTGCCGCAACTAAGTTCACATGTCACAACTTGCTTCAGTCTCACTAGCAGGACTTGAAAGCAAACTCTTGCCAAAAAGACACGGTTTGTGTGTGTGTGTGTGTGTGTGTGTGTGTGTGTGTGTGTGTGTGTGTGTGTGGTGTTTTCCTGTTGTTTTTGTTTTTTTCGTTTTTGGTTCAGCTGTGCAGCTTGCAGGATCTTAGTTCCCTAACCAAGGTCCTAACCACTGGACCAACAGGATATTCCCTTACTTAAACCATTTTCATCTTAAGAGGAAACATCTTAGTTTCCGACGTAACTGGCCCACACAACTGTAAGCTTTTTACCTTAAAGCTGTTACAGTCACTTAAACTAAGCACGTGAAGTTACTTGGAAGCACCTTCGGTGCCCGCCC